AATTATTAAGTTTGTATAGCCTAATAGATAATTAAAATTTTCAGAAAAAATTTTTAAAATATATAAAATCTATGTGTATTTAATTTGTATAATATTAAAAAAATCTTTACTTGTATTATAATTTTTTTTTATAGATTAATTTTTTTTTTTGTATTTTTTTTTCTCTTCTCTTTATTTTTTTATTTTTATTTTTAAAAATAGAACTCTCTACAACATTTCAATTATACTCTTAAACTTTAAAAGCTTTTTATAATTTTTTAAATTAATAAAATTAAGATATTCTCTTAATTAACAATAGTTTGGTTATTATTACAGTATAAAGACTTTTTTATAGTATAAATAGATAATATAAAAATATTATAAAATTATAAATATATAAAAACTCTGATTTTAACTTTAATCTAATTTTAATTTAGACTATAACTCTCACCCTAACTCTAACTATATATTTATAAATTTGTTTAAATTTTTTTTTTTTTTTTTTTTTAATAATCATATTATATTTATTTAGAAATAAAGTAGTTATATTATCAAATACTATTACTACTTCTAGTATTGAATACTTTATAACTAAAATACAACTCATCTAGTTATTATTGGTACCCATTTGTGATTTGCCAAAACAAGAGTTTGTCTTCTCCTTGCATTAGGATTATCTGCTAAAAGGGTTCACTGACTAGACTTTGTAGCCAATTATAATTACATTCTTCTTTCTTCATAATTTTTTCTACCTAGATCTGGGCAGAAGAGTTAAACTCTTACTTTTATTCAAGAAGAGAAACTACTAGCCATAATTACAAAAGAATTTTAAAAAGTTTAAAGCTAGTTTAGAAAAAGATAAGAAAAACAAAGGAAAAACAAAAAAAAACAAAAGAAAAAAAACAAAAGATGAAAAGAAAAAAAAAGAAAAAAAAGAAAAATCTAAACTTTATTCTAGAAAAAGATAAAAAAAATATAAAAAAAAAAGAAACAAATACAATCTAAGTAGTACTATTATAACCTGTGCTAGGCTTAAAAAATTATATAACAAATGCAATATTTGTATATTTCTACTATAAAGCTATGTTTTAACAGAAAATTTTTTCTAACTATTTAAACATTTATGTGTAGCTTATTAGATAGAAGCTTTATCATATGAAATAGCACCATATTTGATAGTAAAGTAAACAAAACATGTGGTTGCAATCTACTATGATATCCTAATTTGTATGAAGTAAACAATGCCAATCTTTTGATGGGAGTAAGCTGTTTTGCTTACTTTTTTTGAAAATTTTGTTGAAAAAGTAAATGAGTAATAGTATGAAGTATAACTCTTATACTATTCTTAAAGGAGTTTATATTTTTTTCCAAAACCAATAAAATATATAAAGCCAAGTATACTGCTGGTTTCTTTGTCAATAGGTGATAAACCCTAAACTTGTTAGCAAATAGTATATGAAAACTACTCCTAAATAACAAGTACTATCCTCATAGTAAGTGATAAGCTCTAGGCCTGTTACAGGTAGTGTATAAGAACTATTTCTAAATAACAGGTGCTGGTTTATAGTTTTAACTAGTCTTATTTCCTTCTTTTCTGATATAATTTGCTACTTTTTTTGAAAAAAGATTTGTTGTGATTTTGGTACAAGGAATCATTGAGAAGAGTTTTATTTATGCTCTATAAATTTGTTTAAATTAGTTCAAATAATTATTTTTATATATTATAATCTTATAATAATTTTATATTACTTATCTATACTATAGATTATCTTATATAGATATCAACAATACTATAAATACACAATAATAATAACAACAAATTTAAAATATTTTACAATTTATATAAATTAGGTTATAAATAAAAAATTAAAAATATAATAGATATATTATAAATATTTATTATAAAACATATTTATAGTAGTTTTGTACCTATTATATATATGTTTTTATATATTTTTATAAGTTTTTTATATAAAATTTTTAGCCCAAATTTTTATAATAGAGTTTGTATTTAGCATTAGAATAAAGGTTTAGAAAGGATTTAATAATATAAAGCATTTTTACTTAGAGTATCACATATTAATTATATAGTTATATAGTTATTTTGTTTTTTAAAATAATACAACATAGATGATAAAACACCATAAATACATTTTAGTAAAAATATATTATAAATACTATAAATAAATAAAAAATTTTACAAATTAACTTTATCAATATATTATTATTTAACTTTTAATTTATATATATATACTATATATAGCTAATTACTATATTAAAAAATATATATATTAGCTTATATATATTAATATTAAAATAAATAGTTTAAAATCTTTATTATAAAAAAATTTTAACCTGCACATAATACGTATTATAAAGTTTATAAAAAAATTATTTTTAATACATGGCGCACTTTAGTACATTAGTATCAAGTAACTAATTTAAATATTATATATAAATACATATGAAAAATATATTAAAAAATAATATTATAATTACATTCACTCTATCTTTAAAATGCAATTACTTGAAATTGTAATCTATTATTTTAGTTTCTATTAAAAAAGTTTATAAATAATGTTTATAAAAAAAATATTTTAACTAAAATACAAATATAAATGCAAATAAGTAGATCTGACTAATTTAAATATTTACAGTAATGCGATTTCTCTTTAATATTAAATCATCAATTTCTTGTTTCTGATTGAACCGTAAGGCTGTAGTGTAATTAAAAAATATTATAGCCTAATTCAATTCTGGTTATAATATCGAAAATAATTTATTAGTAAGTATAACATTCTCACTCTTCAATATATATAGTTGATCAAACATACAATGAACAATTAAGACGATTCGCCTCATGAATGATAGCTAATAATCATCTCTGTATTCTCAGAGCGTATTTTCATTTCAATAAAATAGAAAGTTTCACCTTCGAATTATGACCTTTTTATTAATGAATGTAATGGCTTTTCGGTCGCATGGGTGCCAATGCTCTCACATCTGCGAATTTTGCCTGTCCTTCCAAAACCATTTCTGCAATAACCCTCCCTGTGCCGGATGAATTTAAAATTCCCCAAACTGAATGACCTGTCGCAAGATAAACACCATCTAGCCATGGCACTTTACCTATTAAAGGTTTGTCATCATCGGATATTGGCATATAACAACATTGTTCGTGAAGCACAGTAGCATTGCCTAAGATGTCTGGAGAAAGTGTATTTATATTGTTTTTTAAATTTTTAATTGCAGTGGGATTAGGAACATAATCGTTTGCAGTAGCAGGTAAAGGCGATTCGTCACATTCTCCTGAAACGTAAACTTCACCATTTGGGCGTGGATAAATTTCAGGCTGGGAGAATCTTCGACCAAGATTAAGTGTTACAAAACAAACGTGAGCGGATATCTCAACAGTTGGCCGTACTACAATACTATGTGCTCTTTGACCTGAAACGTTAGGCAACTGAAAAGCGCGGCCACTTTTTTTTGCAAGCCATGAAAGAGCTTCACCACTCCAAGGTCCCATTGCTATAATAATTATATCGGCAGGAATTGTTTCGTTTGTAGAAAGACGAACACCTGATACCTTATATTTGTCGAATTCCAAACCTTGAGCACTGGCAATCCGAACCTCAGCACCTCTAGATTCTGCCTCTTCAATCAAAGTTTTAGTAAACTTGTATGGATGCAGTTGAGCTGTTGTCTGTGTTGTACCAATACTTCTATATTTTGTAATCACGCCAGGCTTCAACCAATCTGTTGGAGGAGGCTTAACACTTACAGCTTTTGTAGAAGCAGTTACTTCAAGCGTGTCAACCACACGGTAATCATACCGTTTTTTTCCATTGAGAGTTTTAGCGAGCTCTGCGTGTAGTTTGAAGCTTTTACGTGCAAGATCTTGTAAAGGACCTTTGTCACACCAATCATATGATAAAAAACCTCTTTTAAGAGGTTATTAGAAAGAACACAGGTAAATTCTATAGGTGAGTGCTTTATTAAAAAGACACAATAGTTATTGATAAAATAAGTGTTTTTTACCCTGCTTTACCCGAGGCAGCGCAACCAATCGCAGTCTGTTCGACAACAGTAACCTTCAAATTTGGGTCTTTGTTAAGTAAGGTTATATGATATGCGATTGAAGAACCAATAACTCCACCTCCAAGAATAACAACGCGTTGTCCTGCCTCTGACATTTTGAGAAATAAATGCTTATCAAATATATACTGGCTTTTTATACGTAAGCAGCTGGTATTTCACGTGACAATAGATCTGATAAAATAAATAAAATCCATATAGATAACCTGAGACATAAAAAAATCTACAATTTTTTGTTGGAGCAAACATAGAATAAGAATTAAAATGGTAGAACATTGTTTATAATTTTTTAAAATAATATTTCTTGATCGATCTTTTTAGTTATACCAACGCCAAGAATAAACAAATCTCTTTCAATTTGTCATACTTTCGATCCAACAAATATATCAAAATAAATAAATTCAATACAATTAAATGAGAGACTTTTTCATTTAACGGCTGCCCTGCGTTGAAGTTGCGTCTGTATATAATAATAGCAAACAATCAAGAATTTGCATAAATGAAGCATTCAGGAAATGTACTTCAACGTATTAAACAAGAAAGAAAAAATTATAAATTAATGGATAATAAGTTGTATATATGCTATATTACTAAGCACTAAATTGAATTTTCAGAATTACTAATTTTTTAGGATTTTACCTATCAAAATTAATATTTTGATCATATAAAATTTAGTATTATTGGAATATCATAATAAATCAATTGATTAATTAAAAATATGCAATATATATAAATTAAGACATAGTTAAATAATAAAATTTATGACAAATTTTTATTCCTATCTTTAACTGCTTCACTCATTATATTTTGCCCACCAACCAAAGTAGCTCTAACCCTTAAAATCACTTTGCCTGCCTACTCACCCAAATATAAATATCAAACTGCTAGTTTGGTAGTATTCAAGAAATTTCACAAGATATGTTGCAAAATGCTCGGCAAAGTGCTAGAAATTTGAGAGTTAATGAACAATTAGAAAGTAGTAAGGTTTCTAAAGAAAAAAAGTATATAAAATTCTTAGCAACTTTCTTACTTAAAGACATAAAAATTAATTTAAATATAATTTTTTTCAAATTAGATATACTGCACAATTCTATATTTATAATATATAGTAATATATTAATTTTAAAAATTTTTCTAAACAATATTAAATTAAATATTTAATTTTTAAGTCAAAATAATTTGTTATATAATTATTTTTAAAATTATTACTGACATATATTTATCATTACTGTTTTGCTATGATCTAAATAATTTGTTCATTTACCAAAATTTATTAAAGAATAAATAAAGTTTTGTATTGATCTAAATCATTATCTTTTTATGTGATATAAAATCTATTATATGACTAAATCTTACCTATATCTATGAAGTTCATATTCATAAAAAAAAATTATTTTGTTAGCAAAACAAAAATTCCAACATTGTTATAATGTAAAGAAACTCTTTATTAAATATTTTTTTTATAGAATTAAACAGTAATAAATATTGAGCAAG